ATCTTTCTTGTTCCTTGGTGACTCCATAGATGCCAAGGCTTGTATTTTGTCAGGGTTAGCCTCTATCCCCCGATGAGTGATCTAAAGCCCAAGAACTTGCTCGAGGCTACTCCAAATGCACATTTTGTGGGGTTCAACTTCATTCTGTACTTTCGCAAGGTGTCGAAAACCTCTTCATGATCTGAAATATGCTGGTCCACCTGTTTGCTCTTGACCACCATGTCATCAACGTACGCCTCCACATTCCTTCCAATCAAGTTAGTAAAGACTTTGTTGATGAGCCTTTGGTATGTTGCCCCTGCATTCTTTAAATCGAAAGGCATGACCTTATAACAGTATACGGCGGAATCGGCCATGAATGACATCTTTTCTTGATCTTCCTCGACCATGAGGATTTGATGATAACCAGAAAATGCATCCAAGAAGCTGTATAGCTTATGTCCAAATGTGCTATCCACCAAGTTGTCAATCCGCGGTAGGGGATAGCTATCCTTTGGACATACTTTGTAAAGATCTGTGAAGTCAATGCAGACCCTCCACTTACCATTGGCCTTCTTCACTAAAACAACATTGGCAAGCCAATCGGGATATTGGACCTCTCGAATGAATTGAGCACTGACGAGTTTGTTAATTTCTTTTCGAATGACCTCCCGACGTTTCGGGGCAAACTGTCTTTTCCTCTGCTTTACTGGTCTGGCCCCTGGGCTAATGTTAAGCCTGTGGACTGCAATTTTGGGGTCTATCCCTAACATATCCTCAACCTTCCAGGCAAAAACGTCAATGTTGCGAGATAAGCAACCAATAAGTTCTGTCTTTAGGGTGACGTCAAGATCCTGACCCATCGTCACCTTCTTATTATGCTCGAGCTCAATTTTCATTAATTCTTCGACAGGAGCAAGTCTGACTTGTTGCTCGGCCTCGGGCTCCATCCTCGAGATTTGCATGACGTCGTTATTTATTTCCCGAACGCTGGCAACATAGCATTGTCTAGCAGCTGTCTGGTCTCTACGCACGACCCCAACGCCATTACTTGTTGGAAATTTCATGGCTAGGTGGAAGGTAGACACAATGGCTTTGATCTTGTTTAGGAGTGGTCTTCCCAGAATGGCGTTACAGGCCATTGAGACATGTACCACTTGAAAAAATGTCATCTCCGTAACCTGTCTCTGGCCAGAACCCAAAGTTAGAGGAAGCTCGACGACACCCTCTGGAGTGATGACTCCTCCCCCAAACCCCTAGAGAGGAGTTTTAACCGCTTTGAGTTGCTGAGATGAGATTCCCATTTTAGCAAAAGCTTCTTGTGAAAGTATATTGGTCGCACTCCCGTTGTCAACCAAGATTCTCTTTACTTCAAAATTGGCCACAATCGTCGAGATTACCAAGGCGTCATCATGTGGAAGTGATACACCTTCTAAGTCCCTGGTCCCAAAAGTAATATCCTCCAGCTTTCCATGAGGCATCCCAGAGGCCAAGGCAAATTGTTTTCTTCCACTGTTGGAGTCTCCTCCCGAGGTAATACCCCCAATGATGATATTGATGGTTCCAGCAGTGGGTTGACCATCCCTTTTTGCCTCAGGGGCTTTTTTCCTACCACGATCGTTCCTCGGGCATTTGTCGTTATCGACGTAGGAACTCAGGAGTCCTCTTTTAATAAGGGCTTCAATCTCCCATTGCAGGGCCTTACAGTTCTCCGTGGTATGCCCATGATCCCGATGGAACTCACAGTACTTGTTCATGTCCCTGGATTCGGGTGGTGACCTCATTCTGACAGGCCATTTGAGTTCCTTCATATCTTTGATCTCCATCAATATATTTGTCTTTGACGTATTTAAACGCGTGAATGACGTCGGGAGAACCTCCTGTCTCTATTTTTTCCGAGGTTGTTCTGCACAGGGGTTCGGGTCGTGTTGTCGTTTATGCTCGACCCTGTCATGGGGTGGTCCAACCTTTCTCGGGTTCAGTGTTTTCTCCATATTTATGTACTTCTCGGCTCGGGTAAGAAGCTCGATCACTGTCTTTGGCGGAGTTTTGGATAAAGACATCTTGAAAGCCTCACACTTTATGGCATATGTGAGGGCAGAAACTACTGCAGTTATATGTAGGTCGGGAATCTGAAGTCTTTCCTTGTTGAACCTGGTCATGAAGTCACGTAGGGTCTCATTTTGCCCTTGTCTAAGTTGCATGAAGGAAGCCGCTGTCTTCCTGATGCATTTACTGCTTGCGAAGAAAGCAGAGAACTTGTCCGCCAGATCCAAGAATGAGGTTATGGAGTTGGGCTCTAAGGTTGAGAACCAATCCCTAGCAGCATTCATCAAAGTTTGCGGGAAGGCCTTGCACATCACCTGATCCGGTGCCACCTGTAGATTCATGACGTCCGTGTATACGTTAAGATGATTGATTGGATCGGTGGTCTCATCATATTCTTTGATCCTAGGATACTTAAATCTGTCTAGCAAGGGGAATGTCAATATCTCGGGAGTAAAGGAAGTGTTGGGACTGAATCTTATCGTCCCTTTGTTGCCCTGAAGTAGGCCCGCCGTAATTCCTTCTTGAATAATCCTAGCGAGTTCCTCGGATTCCATGGTCACTGATCTTGAGGCCGAGGTCACATGTGGTATGCCCGAGGCCCCTGCTCCGCTATTGTCAGGGACATGTCTCTGAGCTCGAGCATCAGCCATAAAACCCCCCTGGGGTGCTGGTGTGGGTGACGGATGCGAATTTCTTTAACTTAGCCGCTGAGTCAGTGTGGCGACCTATTGTCTGAGCTCTTCAAAGGCTCCGACAGTGATGACTGCCGGCCGGAATTCTGGCACTTCTGATGATTCCTCTTGAGGAACAGGGATATCCTCAGGAGGGGGTTGGTTTGGAGCGGATGAGCTTGCTGGTGGAAGACCTGAACGTGTGTTTACCATGGCTTTTGGTAGTGGTTCCCACAGACGGCGCCAATGATGCTACCAAAAATCGTACCTGCAGATTTCCCGAGCTCGATGATTCGGGTTGATCACGATCGTAGTCTTTCGGTACCTGAAACAAAGGCAACGAGGTGTGTTCTCGTCGCCCCTCCGATGCTTAAGTTAGAAAGGGAACTATATGCGTGAGGCTATATGCTGGAGAATAATGAAAAACGTACCTGAATAATGGCCCAAGGTTCTGCTTTTATAGGGGTAGGTAGTGCACTCCTAGTAGGATTGTGCTGGTTGGATATTTTTATCCAAGGGAATTCTATTTATAAAGAGTGCCCTACTTGTAATGAAATTGTTTGACAAGTGGTATAAGGGTTGATACAGAATCCTTGGGTGTTTAGGTTTGTTTGTTAGATACCTAGGTCTTAAAAGGTATGTTGGTGGTGTATGTCCCAAGGACTATTCCCGATGACTTGAGAGGATGTTAATAAGTGCACGAGATACCTCGAGGACCAAAATATCTTGAGGTCTCCGGGAGATCCAGAGGACCATGGCAGAAAGGTGAGCTGGGGCATATATGGAGTCCTCGGGATGAACTCATCGGGTGTATCAATACCGGCAACGTCAACCATCAACATCAACGAGATCTTCATTTATACAACTAAGTTTGCAATCTTGATCCTGAAGTACAGACCCCCAGAAGTTGAGCAAGGTGAATCATACCTCCTGTCCATCATCATATCCCTGATATGCAATTACATAAGAAATAAGACAAGTGAATAAAATCCGTGTTATATTCTTCTTCATGTGATCGTGCTTTAGGTCTATGATAGTCCTGTGACTAAGAATCATGTTTTGGATCTTGCACAACCACTCCGTCTCACGACAAGTATCACAAGCTATCTGAGCGTGCGCTTGCAATGCTGCCCACGAAATTATAAATAAATAACAAGAAAATAGAGAAATATATTTACATTATATGAAATTTATACGGTTCTTACAAAAAATGGTTTGGGGATATATTTCTCAGTTTTTTCAATGTTGCTAGAAAGGTTAATGAGAATCAGTCTCGATTTCATGGGCAAGTTCTCTTGTCAGCCTATCAGCTCGGTCGGCCTGTCCTCCGGCGAAGGTATAATCTCGAAATGCAAACTGGAAAGCCTTCCAAAGCATTTCAGCAGATCCCTTTTTCCTCCCTGGAGTTTTAAATTCGTTTTTTCCTTTTGTTTTCATATTTCTATTCTCCTGAATAAACATCCCATTATATTTTCAGGGTAAGTTCAAACAGAAAAAAATAGATACTACAACTTCCCTCTTAAAGAATGTTAGGCTAAGCTTAAAAAGAATACTGTCAAATTAGTAACTTCTTTCATCAATGAAATAAACTTAAGATTTGCCAAACATGCCCGAAGAGGTGGAATAGAATGATCCAGTTGAACTGCATCGTAAACATTATTGTAGAGATGTGCTTGTTAACAAAATATTCTGGTCTGAACTAACCTTAAGTGCCAGCTCCATACAGGTCGAAGAAATATCCACCATCAGTTCTTCGATACGCACGAGGATGCTAAATCAAAATCCATTTTGTGAATTTGAAATTTCTTCGAGTCTTCATCTTTAGTCCGCTCCATTGCATCCATTTATCCTCTGATCTGAAGGTTATTTCATTTTTCTTTATGTTAAATCAAGCTAATGATGTCCTCATGACAAGAATATTAGCAGACAAGGTCTGGACCTTTAGCTTACCTTATTGAAGTAGTTCTCGACTTTGTCTAGGAGTTGGCCAAAAGGTGACACTATTGGCCAATTCTGCTAAGTGTTAGCTACTGAATCTAACTTCAAGTCCAATGCTGCTGCCATCCTTAATGCTTCCAATTTCTTTGTAGGAAAATCTTCGAATCTTGCTAATACCTGCAGCATAAACATTAGTACTACATGATCGTCCGGTAATACTAGCATCACATAGGAATCAATAAGGGCACTCGTTTCATTGAATCTGTGTTTCATCAGTTAATTTCTCGAGGTGCGATTCCACATATTTGTGGAATTTTATGAGCTCAGCCATGTCTGATGTCTGGAAAGAAGTTATCGCAGCTTTCAACTCCTTAATCGAGTTTTAATCGAGTTTGAATGATTCTTGACATCCTCCTCAATTTGTTGGAAGTAAGCTGACCTGAAAAATAAATACAGACAATTACAGAAAAATATTTAAAATTTCTTCTGAGGAATGATAGGACAGTTTGTCTATCAAAAATACAAATTTATGAAATAATAGTGTAAAAATCAACCGTTTTGTCATCTCTGCTAATACATCAGCCATTCCCTGTTTTCCTCCAGTAGAGGTGCCAATTTTACCTTTCCTCCCTGATGATTTGCCTTCTAAACTAGATCCTTCTATTTTCCCCTTGAGAAGTCGAAACAGATTACCGATCTGGGAAGATCTCTTCAATTTTGTGGTAGCTTTCTTGGGATGGAGGTTGTTGGAGGCAGCAAGCCCTGGAGGTGGTAGTGGAGTTCTACCACTTACATTTGACATAAATGGTGGTCTTTGTGATGTCCCCATGGCTGGTGGAAGTGGTGCAACATTTCTTGATGACATCGGTGGTGGAGGAGGTGGAGGGCATGCTTGATTTCCAGAGGTAAAAGGGAGCCGTGGTGGTGGTGGAGGAGGAGGAGGCAAGGGTGAAGTTTGGGACATTGCTTCATTTTTCAGACCAACTGGTGATAGTGATGGAGATGGAGGTGGTGCTGGCAGTCATGGTGCAGAATGTTCTTTCACCAATGTGTCTGGAGCATCACCTACAACCTCATCGATCTTAGCCATGTTTTCCGTCATCTCACATTCTTCGACAACCTCACCCCTACCCACTGCATTCTTTCCAGAATGCCGTTTTGCTTCCACCTCTAGGTGTTCTTCCTTGTCCTTCTTACTTACCTGGATTGAGTATATAGAATCTTGATGTACTGCATGAGGGAAAATATGGAATGATAGGCGTTTTAGATCAATGGGGTCCAGTTTTCTGACCGCTTCGACTCTCAGAGGAAGGAGTAAAGGCAGAGAATAAGAAGTCTTTACGCCCACAGTCGGGGCCTCACGTATTTCTGGAAGGACTAAGCTGGGGCTTCTGGAAAGCTAGAAAAAGAACCAACGTTATCTGAATATGACTCAGACAAAGCCTTTCCGAATGCGTCTACCGGGAGACTATAGTCCCTCTCTTCATCCTCATCCATAGTATCTTATATTCTCTCCCTGGCTAGCTTAATCATGTCTTCAAGCATTGACAGTGCTAGCTAAATTTAATCGGAGGAAAATTGTTAAAAACAACGATAAATTAAGATCAAAGACTTTCCAGCTAATAGAAGATTATGATACGACATATCAAGTTATTCCAAATTCGCTACTCCTTTTATTTTGCTGCGTTATATTTACAGTTTAACGTCCATTCATCATTAATTGTCCACAGGTCGCCAATTGATTTCAGAGCATCACTTAAGAAAAATAGTGCCTGTTTTCAGAATATATTGGTCATTCATAGAATATTTCCAAGGTAAAGACCATATTAGAATAAAGTCATTCCTTCAGTGTCCAAATCTTTTAGTCATCAGAATATGACCTGATGCACGGACAGTCCTTCAATTTCTGACACCGAAATATTTGTTTCAACACAAGGAAACAATTTCCAGGCAGATCCTTCACGGTACATATCAGCAACTGTTGGACGATCAGCCCATACAAGTTTTATCCATCATAAAATTGTCAGTTAAGAGAAGAACATTAGGCCTAAAAGAGAGAATTACCTCATTTACCGAAGCAGAACCAACTCAAGGAGTCAGATCAAACAAGCATCTTAATGTGGAAAACTTGTTCCTGAGTTATGTCGACTGTCGTCACTATGAAATTGTCTGCCACCACGCAAGAATTGCAAAAACTGAAGAATAGTAGATTGATAAAGAATGTGTAGGTAAAAAATAAGAAATTTTTTTGATTTACGTGTAATATTATTTTAACGAAAAATGTGTGTGATGCTATCAAAAATCGTACCTGCAGATTTCCCGAACTTGATGATTGATAAGGAGCACAAACGTGATCTTCCGATACCTGAAACAAAGGCAACGAGGTGTGTTCTCGTCGCCCCTTCGATGCTTAAGTCAGAAAGGGGAAATATATGCGTGAGGCTATGTGCTGAAGAACAATGAGAAAACGTACCTGAATAATGGTTCAAGGTTCTGTATTTATAGTAGTAAGTGACATTCTCCTAATTGGACTCAACTAGCTGGATGTCATCATCTGTTGGAGTCCTGAATGGTTAAGGAGTTGGTTGAATTCCAGAATTATACGTGAGATAGGATTCTTCTGGGAGTTAAGATTCTTAATTGCGTAGGAATTCTAAAGGGTTAACAATCGTCAGTAGTGAGGGGGAGCACATTCCCGGGGATTATGCCCGAGGACATATGGTTGCAATATGCGAAGCAGCATGGAGTTGTGGTCGGGCATAGTGTCTCGAGGATGAACATGCTCTAGGACACCGCAGATGGAACTTTATCAAAACTAGTCCTCGGGATACACTGATCGGGGATATTGGAAAAATGTCACCATCAGTGTGGTTGGAAAAAAAAAAGAGAAAAATGCATTTTAAGAAAAATGGAAATCAAACGGGGCCTTAATTTATGTGTAAAATTAGGATTTTTTATGAGAAATGAATTTAGGGTGCGTTCAATTGCAAGCATGAAATTTGTATGGAAAGAAAATAAATTATAGGCGATTTAATTGTCTAAAACTTATTTGCATTAAATTTATCAATTATAAGTGTGTTTGATCTTTTGTCTTTTTCTATTGGTGGGTAAATGAGAGAGAATGGAAAGATGAGTGGGAGAAAGAAAGGGTGAATTTCCTGGAAAATAAAATTCTACTCATCCTAAAAAAATACTTTATTGATTTTGAAGAAAATATGGTCATATGATTAAACATAGAAAAATATTTGTATGAAAAAATGTCAATCAAACAATACAAGAATAGGAATTTTGGTAAAAAAAAATACATTTTTTTTCATTTTAAATATCGGCAATCAAACGCAGTTTGAAAAAAAAAATTGAATTTTAAATATAAAATACAAATATGGACTAATTCGAAATTCCCTCTTAAAGTCTTTCAAAACCAAATTGATTAACACCGAAGATAAAGTATAATTACACTTCTATTCAAGTCTTGTTTTGTAGAATTGCGAACTTAACACGATAGTAACATTTAAAAATTATCACTTATAACTTGTAATTATTAATTATGAATTAGTATTATAATTAAATTAAAAGTACTTAAAATCCTTTAGAAACTATAATGTTGTGCAAACTGTAGTCCACTTCATTCATTTTTAACAAAACAAGTTGTGAATTTAACACTGACGTCATAGTTCTTGCCTGTCATTGGGGAGCTCGCTGAAATTCAATCCATGGTAATAACTCTCGTATTCCCTTGTTTCCACTAGAGCGAAAAAGCTAAACCCATATTCGAATTGGAGAAATGAAATAATCGTTTAGGAATTGCTGTTTATAATTTCATTTCATTTTTCGAGTTCAATCAATTCTCATCCGATTTTACGGTTATTATTTATTTCATTGATCATTGCTGATGCTGTTTATAATTAATAAGCCCACGATCAGATTACGAATTCTTTTCTTTGGGCATATTGAAAAAAGAAAGTTTTCTTGTTAGTTCTTGCATAGTTTGATTACTGTTAGTAATTCACGTATCTCAGGAATGCTTTATTGTCGTCTATTTGTACGCGTTCGAAAAAAATAAATATTTCTCTTTTTAGATTAGGGTTTTGGGTATGCTGGTTTACAATTAACGTTCTTGGTGAAATTTGTTTAATTTCATAGGGTATCAAGAAAGTTATAACCAAGGAAGACTGGGAAGAAAGACTCGACTACGTAAAAGTTAGAAAAGAGGACATGAATAGACTGGTGATGAATTTTCTATTCACCGAGGGTTACGTGGAGGCTGCCGAAAGTTTCAGATTGGAATCTTGGACAGCGCGTATCCTCTTTTAATTTTTTCATGTCCAATTTTGTTTATATGCTTGTTTGTTGTCATTGCAGTTTTTTTAATGTTGCAATGTATTTTTAAGAATATAATTGGTTTTCCTTATGGATAAATAGCGGATATAGATCTTGCAACTATTGCAGTTCTTATGGGGGTTAATAAGGCAGTGCAGTCTGGTCGTGTGGAGGATGCAATGGAAAAAGTTAATGATTTCAATCCCGAGGTCTGATAGTCTGCCCCTTTTGTTTCTTTTCATCTTCATCATTAGGAAAAATATCTATCAGATGTTGACAAATTACACGATTGGAATTGCTTGATGCTTTCCAATTTAATTCAATAGTGATGTCATTTGAAAGTTTTGAATGCAGATATTGGATACAAATCCCCAACTATTTTTCCATCTCCAACAGCAAAGGTTGATAGAATTAATAAGGAATGGAAAGGTATTTGAGGCATTGGAATTTGCTCAAAAGGAACTTGCTCCAATAGGAGAGGAAAATGTAATTCTTTTTGCTTCTTGAATGTCTTTATGACTACTCTAATGTGATCCTTGTCAGTTAAACTAATACTTGTACCAAGTTTCATGTGTTGGAATTTGTCCTTGCATATGTTGGATCAGACATTCCCGTGTTTCTACGATGTTGATAGAAAGTTTCTTGGACATTTTACTTTCAAATTTTGGTTCTAATATTCATTCTATTGCAAGTTCAGCAAAGTATTTTAGAAGAATTGGAGAGGACTGTTTCGTTGCTTGCTTTTGAAGATGTTACGAGATGTCCAGTTGGTGAGCTGCTTGATGTGTCACAGCGTATGAAGACTGCCTGTGAGGTGAATGCAGCCATCCTTACCAGCCAAAGCCATGAAAAAGGTGGGTACCTGTTCTACAAATGTACTCTGAGTTGTGGTTGGCGGCATTTAGGAAGGATGAAATTTTTTTATACAGCTTAAACTGAGTTTATTGAAATATATCTCGCTACTTACCAAATAAGTATCATATGGGTTTCCATCTTTAAGTCAAGTCTCCAGTTTAAACGCCTGGTTCTCTTGGCTAATTATTCCAGCCACAAAAAGGCCAAAAGATTCTCAATAAAAGGTCATACATTTGCCTTTTAACATGAGAACGTCAAACTATAATTCCCTTGAACCTTGATCAGTCCTCCAATTCCTGTGTACTAACTTCCTTTTAACAGATTGAAAAGCAAGGAAATTGTTAACAAAGCAAGCACGATTTCTCAGTAATATAGATAAACTTTCTATTCCCATGTCTTATAAATCATTTGCAAGCTTAAAGCCAGCAAGGTTTCTCAGTGCTGCTTACTGATATTTGAATACAATATTTGCAGTATGGTGGTTTTATAAATTTAAAAGAGTGGGCCGTCTTAACTAAGATGTTTCTGTAATTCGTTTATCTTACCACCAGTTGTTCGCTTAATCAATAAGAAAGTAGATTGTGCTTTCTGAGCTACAATTTACTTGATTGATTGGAAATTCAAATGTTTGTTACTCTTTGTTAATCAGCCATTGTTGGAAGATGCATGGTCACTTGTTACTCACATCTGGAGGTGCTTCGACGTAGGATGACCATGCTTCATAAACAATTTCTAATCTGGAGGAAATATCTTGCTTTTCTTTTAGAATATGTGGTCTGAATTTTGAATTTGGTTTAAAAAATTCCTAAGACGTGCGTATTCCAAATCTTCATTCTTGAATTTTTATACAAGTGGTATCATAGATTGATTAGTAGATCCTGTAAACGTTCGAGGACAAGTAACTTAGGCTTTCTAAAATGAGATTTGAAAATTTTATTGATTGAAAAGCACCAAAAATCATGTTATGCACATGCACTATTAATTGGACTTCCTGACTCAGTTGCAAGTGATCTATGTGTTAAACTTGGGATTGATTCTCGGATTGTTATATTCTTTTTCTATAGCATTGGAATATATTTCATGTTTCCTTAAATTGCAATATAGGTTTGATTTTATTTATCTTGGGTTTGTTTTGTTGTTTATTCATATTGTTTGAAATTTTGATTGTATTTGGTCCTTGGATTGCATTTTATGTGATTTTGTTATTTTAAATTGTTATGTTGCATAACTTTAGTTTTGAACTATTGGTTTGATAGGCTTAGAGTAATGTATTCAAATGTTGCAAACAAATTTTTTCAAGGACCCCGTCAAAATCCATGGCTATACTCGTGGCTTTGGTATAAAGTATCAAGTTTGATATCATGGGTTTGTTAAACAGTGCATACTGCTTTGATGGAAGACTCTTGTGGATGCAGGTCTGAATTTAGGGGCGTTTGTCCCTGGCAACACTGATGCCATAAGTGAGGATGCTTTAGAAACTTTGTGCTGGCTTATTTCACCATATTTCTTTTTTAATAGCAGGAGAACTATTGCAACATTGTTATTCATCACTAAGAAAATATATTTCTGACAGTGCCTCGGCGCCATTTATTTCTACCTAGTGACTTGCTTTAAATAGTAGACATTTATTTATTTCATACACTCGCATTTAATTACTGATTTGACTAAATTGTCATTGCAAAGTTCTGAAAATGCATTTCTTTCCACTTCTAATTTTGAACTTTACAATTGGGGGTTGCTATGCAGTCGTGGACATGATTAGATAGTACAAATGTACAGTAGATAAGCCATTAATGTTTATGATGTAAACAGATCCAAAGCTTCAGAGCATATTGAAGATGCTGATATGGGCACAAAATTGGCTTCACGAAAAGCTGCTTATCCTCAAATAAGTGATTTGTCTACCGCGGCACATGAAGATTCTGTTGTTTGAATACCACAAACTTTACCTCGTTCTTCCAGCTGAATGTGATGATGAAAAGTTCAAAAAACGCTGCACTTTTACGTGGAAGACAGCATATGATTTGTCATTTAGATGTGATGTTTCTAAATGAAAATTTGTGCTGTTCAACTCTCCATTGTTTAATTCTTGAGAACCATCATCATCAAAGTTGAGGGCATAAGTTGAGGGATCATACTGGGAAATGAATTGCTGTTTGGATCCCTTCTCGATTACGTTTGTCATTTTCTTGAATAGGCTTCTGCGTTGCTTCTTGCTATAGTTGTGAATAACTTGAAGTTTTTTTCTTTTTCTTATGACTTGAAAATTTTATATCTGAATATGTGTAGACAACGTAGCCTAAGCTTTCCAGAGGGTACATGTCACATGCATGAAAGTACAAGTATATGAAAAATGCACCAATAGAGATTGGTAATTTGGTTGTTTAACCTTCGTGTCTCTACTTTATGAAACAATCAACATTTTGTATTGGATTAGTCTCATTGATTGATTTGAAAAAAATTTGCAAGCTGAAAAGTACACTCACTACATCTCACCATGACCATTCCAAATTTGCGAACGTGATGTCAATTCACCCATTGTTCTCGATAAGACCAATGTAATGAAATTCGAGATATCTAATTTTTGGATTTTGTTCATCATTAGTTTTCGTTGATTGATTGTTGTCGACTTCACTGACATCATGAGGACATATTTTCAATCATGTCACGATATCTACAAACGATGTCTCAAGTGGATTGACGTGCATGGATTAAGTCTCGAGTTAACCTTTTGTGCTGACCAATTTGACTTCTTCGATTAAAAGAAGGCCTCATTTGACCAAGATATAAAAGCACAAATTTGGCTTGGACCAATCAAACCAAAAAGAAGACCCTTGCATGTGAAGTTTTAGAATCATGTTATTTGTACAAACTAAGTTGACAAACTTGATTTGCAAACTATGTGTCGGGAACATTTAGGTCAATTATTTCAAAAAGAGTTTTTGAAATCAATGAAAATCAATGGTCTAGATCTTTTTAACATTTGATTTGTAAACAAACTTTGTACAAGTAAATTAATTCAAAGTTTTATACCCTTTACAGTATAACTACTGTGCACCTCATTCCCACGCCACACACACCAGTCCAGTCAAGAAATAGCCTGCAATTTTATTTTATTATTATTATTTTTTTTTTTTTTAAAAAATAGCCTGCAGTTTTGTGCACCCGGAAAGTCACGTGTATTTCCGCCCATACGCACGCGCAGTGCCATTTTTTGACTCGTGGGGTCATTGACCTGATTAATGTTGATCACACGGTGGAGATCGTAGATGGTGGGCACCACATTTAAGGGACAATTTTATGTCCCATTTGTTTGGGGAAACCTGAAAGGCCGACATTTTGCGTAGTGATGTGTCGGGGCAGGAGAGAGGAAACATGTTTGTGTTTTTCACTAATTTGCCCTTGACAGTTAGGATAGATTGGATTTTGAATCGAATTCGATCCTAAATTAATAGGAGATGAATTTAAATTTTGTTTGAGCCCCATTTTTTTCAAAAAATACATTTTCAAATAGTGTTATGATGGGAAATGTGTAGTTAAAAAATAAGAAAATTTTTTAGATTTACGTGTAATATTATTTTATTGAAAAATGTGTAGTTGAAATGAGATCAAATCACTGTTGAAAAATGTATTTTGATGAAAACAAGGGCTTAGGGTTACGATCCGATAACACAATGAAGATCCAAATTCGATAACCTTTTAACGAAATGTGGCAAATATGAATATAGGTCAATCCGATTCAATAACAACCCGATTCGACTTATTTTAAAAATATAATATATTTTATATATTATCAAATAATTTATTACACATAATTTTTTCCATTTTGAAACTTATATTATACTTTACACATAATTTTTAAATAATAAATAATATTAGAATTGAAATATTAAAAGCTATCTTAACTTTTTAATTCTAGGGTTTAGAAGTTGATTAATAAAATTTTTTATCTTTCCAATTTCTTCAATTTTCGATCGAGTTATTGGATCGAACATCCGATAGCATAGCAAATGAGATATAGATTTAACGATCAAATATCCATTGAATTATTGGATCGAATAATTGTTCCTAACAGATCAGATCGAATTTGGTCAGATCCGATCCATTTACGACCTATTGACAATGAGTTATGCTACATATACAAATTTGGTTTACAAAATTGGTTGATAAAGTAATATCTATATCAATCATTTCAAAAACAGATTTTTAAATCATTTAAAATTAATGGTTTGAATTTTATCAACACTTATTTATCAACCTCAAATAATAAATAATATTAGAATTGAAATATTAAAAGCTATCTTAACTTTTTAATTCTAGGGTTTAGAAGTTGATTAATAAAATTTTTTATCTTTCCAATTTTTTTCAATTTTCGATCGAGTTATTGGATCGGACATCCGATAGCATAGCAAATGAGATATAGATTTAACGATCAAATATCCATTGAATTATTGGATCGAATAATTGTTCCTAACAGATCAGATCGAATTTGGTCAGATCCGATCCATTTACAACCTATTGACAATGAGTTATGCTACATATACAAATTTGGTTTACAAAATTGGTTGACAAAGTAATATCTATATCAATCATTTCAAAAACAGATTTTTAAATCATTTAAAATTAATGGTTTGAATTTTATCAACACTTATTTATCAACCAAATTTGTAAACATACCCTATACAAATAGCATAATACATTCAGAGTATTGGAATTGATGAGGTAGAAGTAGAATATATTTGTTGACACGTGTGGGAAGCCAGCATTGTGGGGACCGGAGGCACGTGGCCATTGACAATTGAGGCTTGCATGAATAAGTACTCAAGTCGTGAGAAACAATCAAAGAGTAAATAAAAACTACTGGTTCTAAAATATAATTCTTGACTCATGATTAAAAGGTTGAATTCCAACTTGAGGACCCATCACTTCGTTTTTGGAATATCGCGAGAGAGTTAAATTCTAAAATATGTCCCAACAGACCAGAAAATAAGAGTTTGCATGTACACTGGTGCCCACAACCACAAAGAGTCCAATTTTAATAAAACAAAAATTTAATAATTTAAGTAAAAATCCATAATGGACTATTCCTTCAATAGACCAAGCTTAAGGGGCTACTCTAGTTGTGTCTGTCCCAAGAGGCCTCCAATTTTTGTAAGAAAAATCAGTGAACCAAATGTTAGTTGATGAGTTTTACACTCTTCAGTGAACACTATGTTGGGCATTGCAATAAGATTATGCATTGTAAAGTCGTAAAACTTCAATTTGAAAATCAGTAGATTTTGTAAATAAAAAAACATATTAAAGAGATGGCAAATCACATTATTGTAAAAGTTCAAAAAATTCCAACAATTAAAAATAAAAAAATAAAAAATAAAAAACCCTCTTGGGAAAAGCAAAACGGACAGACTCTTTTATTGATTGGGACCACAACATGTTGCATGTTTGTTGTGCAGATGACGAAGTTTCTACTTTTGTTTTAGTTCCATAGACTGCTTTCTCTGCCTTGCTCCAACTTTGAGCTTTGGATTCTTTGCCCTCAATCTTACACTCAAAGTAGGGCACTTAGAAAATTGAATGGGATTGTTGGTCTACAGTGATTTAAATTTTTTTTAAAATCATTTTTCTTGTTCATCTTTAGACCCTAGCACCTGTTTTATAATATTCATTTCCATCCACACATTTCTTGAAATATATATTTTATCAACTTTTCAATCATACATTTCATTAATTTTTATCTAAACAAAATAGGGTTAATTTTGGTTGCTCATTATTAATAATCGAAATGAAATAAAAGAAGACTTTAAATACTTTATTATTGTTACTTTTGCCTGGTTAACTTATCAAACATGTTAGTAGTTAGGAAAATGCTATTTGTACACCGGCGTTGACACTCCGGTGTACACTCCCCTCACATGAGGGGATGGACTCCACGACAATAAAAAAATCTTGGGACCCCCATGTATGGGGGGTATACACCGGAGTGTCAATCCCGATGTACGTGTAGCAAAACTCTAGTAGTTAATTGGTGCTGATTAATATAGATTTGAGATCGCCAATTTCACATTCTTTGCTTTTGCAATGTAGGTTCACTCCAAGGTATGGTTCTTTCTCTTGAGCGACTTTGTATTGAAGTTATCTTGCACCCAGCTATGAAAACTCAATTATCGCTCTATAAAACAATTATTTTTAATCTCTAATTGTCATCGACATGGTTTTAACTTATACATTTTGTCTCGATTTTGTCTCGATCTTTTATCATTTCTTGGTTTCGAATAAATTTTATTCGCTATGAAAGAAAGAAAGAAAAAAAAGGTAATTTATAATTTCGAACAACATTCACACGAGATCTTCTATGAAAACATAAATATTGACATTGTAAAAGAGACACATCGAATATAAAAATATTAAAAAAGATTCTTTTATTGAAAATTTAACATGGCTAATTTCGTTGATGGTCACCGAACTTTGCACACTATGTCACCTCGAATATCCAACTTTAACTTATTTCAAACTCATTACTGAACTTTACAAAAAAAAATTCATTCAGTCAACTCATTGTTTAACATTCCTTCTTAACTTAAAATCCTTCATGTTCTATGTCAAGTCATCAAATCAATAGAACTCTCGATTTAAATCCTATGAGTGGCATATAAACACAAAGAATGTTCTGTTAGAAAATGGACGTCAAGTTGATTTGGCACTTTGAATGAAACATCTATAATATATTAAATATCATATTATGTAATGATCATTTTTTGGACTATTCTATCCTTACTATAATTCAATTATTTCAATTAACTTTACTATTTATTTTTTAATATGTATTTAATTATTTTAATAATATCCTACTTTTCGTATTTCAACATGTATTTAATTTATTAATCATTTGAACCATTTGAAAAATATTATCATTAATTATTTTGTCAACTATTTAGTTATGATGAATGTACATTTGACATACGTCACATACTCATTAGCTTACTTTTCGTTTTTCGATATGTATTCAGTTTATTTAACCATATTCATTGCCTTTTCATTTTTCAACATGTATTTGATTTATTTAATCATTTGAACAATATAGTCATGAATTATTTTATCAATTATTTAGTTATGATTAGTGTACATTCGATAGATTCATTCCACTTAATTGAATAGTAAATTAAATTTATTAAATAATTTTTGGAGCAAAAGATGAATATTTTTAGAGTTTTTTTTTCCCAATTGATTTTCTTCAATAGATGCATATCTATAATAAATGATTTTAGTTGATATATTTTCAATACATATTAAGTGAATATAAAGAAAGGATGATATTCAACGATTTAAATCAAAAGAAAAATAGAATGATTATTCTAATTGATTTTCTCAACTCATTTGAGAGGTTGTCCGGAACCAATTCTTTTGGGGGGAAAAGGATTTTATATGACCATTGCAGCCGATTTTTTTGACCAATTATCTCACATGCGGGCCCCAATTGGGTGGAAAAAGGGGGAAAAAAAAATTTTGATTTTATTGGGAGAAAAAAGTTGGAGCAGACAACCTCTAAATCAAAAGCTCATTTCCACATGAACAATCTATATTAATTATTTTTATATTATAACATTTTATAATATTATTTTTATGGCACATTTAAAGCATTTCAAAATAATGTACAACTTACTATGACTTGTTTTATAAAATGTAGAGTAATGCTATATAGTTTTACTGAAATTCTAACCACAGTTTAGGCGATACTAGATAATAGGTTAAATTAAAGGTAAAATTGAATTGAACAATTTGTTTAATCGATACAAATTGTGACCCATAACTCATCTTCTTTCTTTTTTGATTATCTTCCTCACGTATGTATAAGATCGAATCCATTCAGGTTATTTAATTTTACATATCATTTAATGTCACTAAATTGGAGTTATAACCCTATTAGGGCTAAATATTATTACCCTAAAATGTATTAATGAATCTAAAATAAATTAAAATTCAATTTTAAAATTGATAACGCTCGGTAATTTCATTTTTAATATTTTGAATAAAATTGTTGTATTCAACATACAATGGCCATGATATAATAAGATAATCAAGCTTCAATTTTAACCACATATTTTATTTAACTAGTAATTTTTATTTATCTTTTAACACTACATTTAGCCCCCGTTTGCTCTCATTATTTGGGGTTATAATTTTTGGAATAATGTTTTTTTAGAAAATATATGATTAAAAAAAAGTTTTTGATATATATATAATATTATTTTATAAAAAATTCTATCGTTGAAAATAAAAGAAAAAAATTATAATACGAAATATTGGGCCAAATGGGGGCTTAAGAGATTCACCCTTTTATAATCTCGGTTCAACCTTTAAAATTATGCACGTCAGTCAAAAACTGGAAACTGCCATCCATATTATTCCCATGGCGGAGATATAGAGAGAGAGGGTTTCCTTTCGGCTGTCAAAAAACAGTGGTGCTGCTTCCAAGTCCTCTATAAAGAGTTGGAAAAAAAAAAAGCCTTTCCAAGTCCCAAAGCCTCTCCCTTTTTTCAACCTCCTCTCACCTCATCGTCTCTCTTTCGCCGAGAATCTTAAGCATTAACAAATGACAATGGCTTAAAAGCCTTGAGAAACTATTGTGTTTTATACCCAACTTCAACTGCCATTAACTGTCTTGATTCAAGACTTTTGAGTGAATTTTACGAGTCTTTGTCGTTGTACTTACATGCCATTGAAGCTCAATTTTCAGAGTTGATAAAGAAAAAAGGCGAAATGGGTGGAGGAGGAGAAGAGGGGTGGAGTAGTTGGCCACCAACACCTGGTGGAGCGCCGCCGCTGTACATACAGAAAGATGACCATTGGACTCACTTTGATAACTCCGTAAATGCAGTTTCTTTTGGGTTTGTTGCCACTGCCATTCTTATTTGTATGTTTCTTGTTATGGCAATCTTTGAAAAGTTCCTTAGAGCCACCTCGCCGGCCGGCGAACGCCACAGTCGCTCCGACATTGAGTCTCAGAACCATGTGAGTGGCTTCAATGCAAAACTTGGCCATCCATCACCTAAAGTGAGTGCTCTTGGTACATTTGCACACGTTTATGTTCAGCTTTTGCGCGAGTCTTGAGGTTTTTTTCCCCCAAATTGTGCAAATTTTGATATGTTTATTTGGGATTTTGGATAAAATTTTGGGATTTCGCAGGTTGTGATGATTGCTGTTCTGACTTTTTTATTTATTATTTCTCGTTCACTTTTCCTGCACCATCTGTTTGATTTCATGAGAGCTGCTGCAGTGACAGGGTGGGGGGTTCCACAGGCTCCTCACAACACAGGGTCCTGTAAAGACCCCGTGAAGCTGAGCCTTTACACTCAGCTTTATTCTTGATTTCAATGTCTTATATCAGTTTCAGATTCTCAATTTACATTTTTTCCATTGACCGAGTACATTTCTCATACGCTAGGCTGCAGCTAAAAGCGCTGGCCCTTTTTTATTTTTTGCTTTATACATGTTTCGGAATTGAAAATCCACCGAAAAAAAATTGCATCTAAGATGCACACAGGTAACAGAGTTGAAACACACTGCTTGATTTTCTTAATCCTTAAGGTTTTTCTTTAAGTTCGTCTGAGTAACTAACGAATAATCCTCAATATGTTGCCACGAAATTGCCGGATTATCGACATTGAAACACCAAAAACTTTGAAGCTACAGAAATTTAGTTATCCTTGAATAATAATTTGGCCCAAAAGAGAGGAGATAAAGATAGACAGCTTAGCTTATTTCTTGGTTTCTTGTCTTAAAGTCTATGATATGTTAACATATATGCATGTGAACGTTCCTCAGATTTTAGGACACAGAGACTATAAAATTGTGTTTGATGTTTATAATAATGGCCCTTCCATGGAGTTGTTGGGTGGTAGGTTAGTCCAGTTCCCAGTTAATGGGTCCTGGAATTGTGTGCTTAGACATAGTTGTTAGTACCAGGGCTTAGTCCCCCTGTGGCACATCATCTCTTTTAAGCACATCACCACCAATATTTATGATGCTTCCATGTGGCCAAACCCGGGATAGGAGACAGATTACCAACATTGACATTACTTTGTCCGATGGTTGGTTTAATGTATGATCCCCTCTTTAATAATATAGCTTATTACTCAGTTTGATCACTGTTTGTTGACTTTTATTTCTTAAATCTATATCCCATCATAAATTTTAAAATATTTCTGAGAGCTCGTTTAACTTTCGATATATGACATATTGTCTTAGGCTTACCGGGCTTCTTATTTAGGGATAATTGCAGGAAAAGTCCCAAACCTTTCAAAAATTGGCAGACTTTTCCTGACCTTTCAATCGTTGCAAAGCCCTGGCACCACTACTCCACCTACCCATTGCCACCATCACCAACTCTACACAAAAATCGAAACCCACTGAGTACAAAGGAGAAGAAATCAGTACTTTTATACGCGAATATAAAGGCTTCGATTAAGTTTAAGGAGGAGCAAAAGCCCCTTTTGAGAGCCAAAAATCCCAATAAACATTTTGAATTGTCTATTCCAATTAGGAATTGTGGTTGTTGAAACAAAAGAATAATATCTAGATCTCAGTATTTTCTTTAAATTTGGCCCTTCATTCAAATTCTCCTACCGTCCCGTTTTATCCAAGAGCCCTGAGTTTAATTTAATTGGTGATCAGAACCCCAATATCTTCATCCACTTCAAACCCAATTTTGGCGATTTTTCTGTGAAAAAATCTTGTTCTTCGAGGTTTGTTCATGGTTTTGGAAACAAATTCAACAGTATCGCTTTAACGGGGAAAATTTTCCTGGACAACATATACTTTAAAAGGAATGGGTTTCTTCCAGCCGCGGTTGAGTTGGAGGGTTTTGAAGAGCGGGATAACATACAATAAGTAAGCTTGGTTTTGGGGTTGGGGTTGAGTGGCGCTTGTGATTGAGGTGGATGGTGGCGGTTTTGGGTTGGTTATTGCAGTGTGATGGTGTTGTAGGTTGGTGGGGGTTGCTGGTCAGTAACGTGCCGGTTTTATGATTTCTGGTGGGGTGGAGGGGGAAAGAGATACAAATTTCTTTTCTTTTATTTTTTATTCTTTTATATTTTCCTTTTTTAATTTGATTATTTGAATTTTTTAATTCTGATAAATAAAGAGTTGATATTTTGCCCATTATCAACATATTAAAAATGTAGTCAAATTGAATTTTTTGGTCAATTAATGGTAAATTGGATGTTTTCCATCCATTCGGGGCCTTAGCTGCTACGATTTGAATGGTCTGGGGTGACGGTTGCAATGATTGAAAGGTTAGGAGAAAGTTTGCCTGTGTTTGAAAGGTTTGGGGTCTTTGCTGCAATTATTCCTATTATTTATTACAGCTTTAGCAATTTACTGAGTTTTGAAAACTATGCTGTATAGTTCTGTGTACTGTGTCGGACCGTTAGTATATACTTCAGCTTCGGATTGATACCATTCGTTAATTATCGTGTTACCCTCTTTCTTCCCAAGTTTTTTGATGCTAGACTTTCTTACCAAATTGTTTCAGATATTAGCTAATGCCAGAGAAGTTTCAGTGTTGATGCCCGGAGATAATATTCCGACTTTTATTGCACAGCCAGCTCCCGTGCCATGTCCACCTGAGCGTGTGCCTTGCCCGTCCCATCAACTGCGTCCGAATTAGAGCTTCATCTGAAAGCAATGAACATGAGTTAATGCCAGGGTAATGGAACAAATACTGAGCAAAAGTCACCACGAACAATTCAAAAAATTTGAACTTGAGACGAGGCATTTTTTTCTTGCATAGGCTGTTCGAATTTGTGCATAATCTTTGAATGGCTTCAGTAAATGTAAAGAATCATATAAAGTGTACTCTCCAGCTTGTACGTATTTGCAATTAATTGCTTGGAGGACTCCATCCAGATAGAAACGTTGGGTGAGGCCCTTGCTTATTGAGCTTTCTGTTTACAAGCTTAAAGCAGCAAATTTTAGCAAATGAAACCGGCCCAGCCATCTTAGAGCCCATTTTCAAAATTCATTTGTTCATAATCTTGCATTATATGGACATGGAATTCTCGGCGGAAACTCAAAAAAGGCGTACCTAATATCTACTGTTAGAAGTCTAGCCTCTCTCAAGTCTAATGCCATTTTCCATTTGCAATTTGATCATCTCAAAGTCCAATCAAATGGATCCTAAACATATCATCAAGTTTCAAGCAAATTGAGAGAAATTCCATAGTAAATCTATTTAACCATCGCATAATCAGAAGGAATAACTGACAGATGTTAAGAGAAACTCTCCATGAAAAACCGATTCTGTTCTTAACTGTCCGTTTGGTTCCTTAATGCGCACATATATATGGGACAAAAATCTTCACGCAAGTTAAAAGAATTGCTTTTAAGTGCTAGAAAGGGAAAAAAGTTTGAATTTTGAGGCCTCGTACCATTACCACTCAATTCCAAGATTTGGATTGTGAACAAGGACAAACGTACAATCCAAAAGAATCGAATCCACTTATGCAGCAGTACTGCCTATATTGACCCTATTCCAGCTTCTTGGCAACTAGAAAACCCACCAAAAGAATTCAAAGTAGAAAGCGGTAGTTTTGTTGTTAGAGAATTGATCCTCATTCTTTAAAAATGGCAGCTTTTGATCGTAGTTGCACAATCAGTCTCAAACCATGTTTTTGTGAAATTATCGTGTCTTCATCACGTTTAGTAGGTAATTTTCTGACTTGAGCTAGGACGACAAGTTTCTTTGCATTTAACAAATGCTTGGACTGTTTCGGCTACATTTTCATTAAAATAGAATTAGGGTGTTGGGAATCTAATTAAACATGCACAGCGAAAATTAGAATTATTTCGATTCCCACCGAGGATTTCTTTGTATTTAGATAGAAATCGTGATAAAGATTGTACCTTTGACGAATTCTGCAAACCTTTTGCTTTTCTTTTCGTTCCAGCAATCTTGATTCGCCATCCACAGCTGTCCAATTGTCCAACCTCCAATAGTGATCCACACAGAGAATAAGATTGCAACTGACAGGGTTTTTCCACTTGTGCCAACAAAAATAATGAAAAATCATCTGGACCTCAAACCCTAGCCATATATTTATATAAACTCAAACGGGCTCGGCCCGTCCGGTCCAATATTTAATTAATCCAATTAATTAAATCCGGTCCGTGAATTAATTCAATTAATTAATTCGGAAATATAAATAATAAATCCAATTAATTAATTTATCCAACGATTGTTAAATTAACCAATTGTCAATTTGCAATCTTCTAATTCTCTTTTGTGTGCGACACATTAGGTTCCCAACCACAATGCCTAATGACGTGAAATATAATTTTGATTTAATCAAAATTGATAAATTAAAACACTCTTTTAATTTATCGTCAATTCACACTCGCCATCCCTGATTGATATCTAGCAATGTGTCAGGGCAATACATGTAACGAAAAATGTCACGTGATATGACAAAATCAAATTCGTTCGTTTACCGTGAAACTATAATCCCTTCGTCAATATGATCCGATCAATTACGAGATATGAAATTGTGTCAATCTCGATCATCGAGCATATCTTTCACTCCACTATTAAGTTAATATAAGTCGAAAACTCCTTTTTGACTTATGATTACATCTTGGCCAAGGATTTCATCATCGACTTAATTGAATGAAACGCAGATCATAATCTCCTACTATCTAAGAGTGGCGAATCCTTTATTAATCAATCACAACCTTCATACGATTCTTGACGTACCCAAACGATGTCGTATTAGCGGCCCTTTTCAAAGCAACATCCAACACCGCCAAAATATGACTGTCCTCATATAAGGTACCATGATGACCTCAAGTCAAAGGATCAATTCCACTACCAAACGTTAGAAATTAACCACTGACACTCAGATAGTTATCCATGTGGAATCTCTCGACGAATCTCCAATGTTTTGTTCTATAACAAAACATCCACGTGTTCATTTAAGTGTCACCGCACTTTAACTTGTGAGATCAACTACTTACTTCACAAGTAAGAAATGCCACACGTGATGGTCTATCCGTAATAACGATATCCGTATCTCGTTATTACTTACGACCACTGATGATTTAAGATTCAATTAGATGTAATTTGTATCTCACAATCACAACTCCTGTGATTAACAAATTACAAAGATTTGAATTTACGGACTCTATTATTTATTTAATTGTCTATTAATTAAATAATAGATCTGCCATTAAATTGCATTAATTATGTATCAAAAGTATTATGTCCAAAGTTGATTGAACCTAGGGTATAATACTTACAAACTCCCACTTGCACTAGATCCAATCACTTAAGTATCCAATATCATAAGTTTACACGACGATCATGTTTATGCTACGACAACTCTTTGTCAGTGGATCTGCAATAT